GTGTGTGTGTGTGTGTGTGTGTGTGTGTGTGTGTGTGTGTGTATAAACGGTGAGAACATGGAACATATTTAAACATACAGCAAAGTCGGGGGGAAAGAAAAATGTTAGCTTAAAAGTAGTAAAATCATGGCTAAAATGAGCTGAAGTGAGAAAGAAACAGAAGAAGAGACAAAGAGTAAAGAGAAACAGGATGTCTACGACCACAGGTCTCTCATGACTGGAGAGCCTCACCACAGGGACGGTCGGTGGGTGATGGACAGGAGGGAGATGCCGGCATCCTTGGCAGCCTGAAAGATCTTTCCCTCYACGTCGATGCTCACGGCGCTGGTGCACTCATCCAGCAGAGCGTATTTAGGCCTTGAGTGAAAACATTTATGGGTCATTTTGAGCCCAGGGCAGCAGGAGGGTTGAATGTAGCGCTTGGTTCTTACTTGTGGTAAAACATGCGAGCCATGCCCATCCTCTGCTTCTCGCCTCCGGACAGAACGTCCTTCCAGTCCAGCTCAGCGTCCCAGCCTGGAGGAGAAATAAAAACATGATTCTGCTGCTCCTCTGCTCCGTCGTGGATGAACCGGGTCACCTGAGAGCTCTCCTACCTCCCTCTCTGGTCACGATGTGATTGAGGTTGACGATGTCCAAGATGGCCTCCAGGTCCTTGTCACAGAGGCCTCTGGCTGCCATGTCCTCCGCAGAGTCTGGGTAGATCACCTGGTCTCGCAGGGTCCCCAGAGACATGTAGGGCCTGGAGAAACACACACACACATGTTAGAGCCAAAGAGCTGGGACACAACTTTCACACCAGCTGAAAGAAAAACTTCARCTTAGGGTTAAAGTGTCAGGATCTGTTACAGACACCAGGTGCTCGTCTCATCCTGAGTATAAAATATTCAGCGCTCTGCAGGAGGGAGTCTGCAGCTCTGAACTGGTTTAGTTTAAGACCGCTTTTATGGACTCCCAACTTTAAGATGAAAAGTTCCCCAAAGTTATAGTGCATCGTAAAACACCAAACGACAATCAGTCCAAACCCAGTCACATGTTTAGCCTCGGCACAATCTTTGGATGTGGATGACTCGTTTTATCTGGTCAATAATCAACTCTGATTGATAAAATTGATTATTTATCAAAAAGGGCGAACAATATGAAAAAAGCTGTTTCGTTTTGGGGAATCGCAACATAATCACAACGCTCTTCCTTCGTATTTTAATGTCGTTATTATCGACTGTCGCCCCCTGCTGGTCTGGAGTGTGTATCTTTAGTGCTTCAGGGATTTTTCTCTCATCTCGACAGGATTTTATTTTGAAACTGAGAAAACAAAACACTGTGGTTGCACCAAGGTTTTTACAAATTACTAGGAATGCAYGATGAATCGGCATTGACATCGGTATCGGCCCGATATGTAAAACGGGGCCGATATTAATGTCCGATATTGATTTTCCATTTTTTAGCTTTGTGTTTCTGTTTTGGGAGGCGAAATGTTTGGTTAAGTGGCATCTGTTTGATCGTGATATTGACTATGGACAGCCAGGATTACCTGAAGTAGAAAGCCATGTCAGAGGTCTGGTAGTTTATGTACGGTATCGAAAAAAGACACAAGTGTGTTTGTGTGTAAACGTACACTATATAAATAGTGTGTGTTTGTGTAATTTCTGTAAATATCGGTTAACGGCCATAACAGCAATATCGGATGCTGATATCGGCTGAAATTTTCATATTGGTGCATCCTGACAAATTACATTTTTGTTGATCTGAAACTTTATTGCACAACAAAGGAGTCATGCATSGTTTTAATTCATTACTTTTGTACTTATAAAACAGTCTTTTTTGATTTGTTTCACATTTTTGCTGCTCCATGTTCAGGGGTCTCTTTTAAGAAGAACTTATTGTATCTTAGGAAGAAGGTGTTAATTTAGAGCCACGCTGCTGTTTTCAGGGTTGTTGTTCTCTGATATTTCACAGATTTCAGCTGTAAAGCCTAACCTTTGATCTGACAGGACAGTGAACACGAGTTTTGTTACAAAGGACTGGATTACGGAGAAAATCAAACTCTGCCGATGCCTCCGCTGTAGAATATCTGATTATGATGAGTGTGAGTGTGTGTACCTCTGAGGGATGTAGAACATGTGTTCTGGAGAGGGTTTGTAGAGCCGGCCGCCGTACACCGGCCACAAGCCGCTGAGGATCCTGAACAGGGAGCTTTTGCCACATCCGTTGGGTCCTGTGATCAACAGGTGCATCCCTTCTTCCACCTGAGAGGGAGAGGCCGTTCATTACACCTCCTCACGCAAAGGCAGCAGAAATACAAGATGAARAGGCAAAATGTCCAATTTTAAACGTTAGAATAGGAAAGATGTTATATTTGTTGTTTGAAACTAAACTGATCGCGACCTAAAGGTGTGTTGTTTTAATTTTTTGACATTGTTCCATTCAAGCTCCGTGATAATTACATGATGTTCTGACCAGATTTAACTCGAAAGGCAGCTTTGTGTCGTTTTATCAGCAAACTTATCAAGTTAACTTGTTTTCCTCAGATGCAAAGACCAAAGTCTTTTGTTTATCTTTGCTTTATCTATGAAAGGACAGAACATGAGGACGTGTGTGCCGCAGTAAAAGGTGAACGGGCAGCTGATGTTATTATTCTCATGAATCTCCTCCTGACGAGGCCGAACGTTAAACACATCATGGACCGCCATCCTCAGAGAGTTTCATGGCCAGGTGTCGGGCTGGGTGTTATGCTGCTAAAAACAACCAAACACTATTAACTGTAGGGCTGTGTATTTGCAAGAATTTGGACACAAAGGTCACAATAAAATCATTGCAATATATTGCCTTGCTTTAGCAATATATTGCAATATTTTACCTTTTTTTTCTAAAATAATTCTGATAAATAAAAAATTCTGCATGTTTTATATGGTTATTCACAATGCTAATGTTTGAGCTAGTATTAAACTCTCAGGCTCTTTAGGAGGGGAGGAGCCAAGCAGCTGCTGCCAACTAGTGGTCGGAGGCTAAATTACAACACGAATGAAAGCATGAATGTTTACATTTTAAGCCTAAATTAAACATCAATACATTGGTTTAGAAAATCAATATAGTATCGGGAAATGAAACGCTGCGACATTTTAGTGTATCGATATTTTCTTACACTCCTAATTAATTGTGGCGTTTAATAAGACGGTTGTTTCCTGGAGTACCAGGACACCAGCACGTTCTAGTCACATAACCAATTTAAACCACTCTAATGTGATGGATGTGCTCTCTCTAAGAATATCTTCTAATTTGTATCAAAAGTACAGACTTCAAATTATACATCGGTTTTTAAATTGTGCTGATAGGCCAAGTAAAACCAGAGTTATGATAAATAATTAAAGGCACTTTTATTTTTAAAAGTTCGTCATATTTGGAGAGTTGCAGTGGGATAAAGACGAACCGATTCATGAAAAAAAATCGCCTCAATCCACCCTCTGCTCTCATCTCTGCCCCGCTGAACTAACATAAAGCCCCCAAACTCCTTTCTGACYGACGCCTGAAATTATTTGACAAACGCCAAAAAAATCTACAGGAAGAGGAAAATAAAAAGAGAGGAAATCTGAATGAAGTTTGGCGGCGATGGAGATGCGGTGAGATCAGGACGGAGCGATGGGATGTGAGAGATTTATTTTGGAGTTTCGATTTTTGAAGTTAGAAGAAACTGCCTCGCCTTTAAGTTCAGGCAGGACACGACGACATCCCCGTTGGGTGTGATGATCGGGACGTTCTCACACACGATCCCCTGGTCGACGTCGATCACCTCGCCTGCAGCGGATGAAAGAAAAAAGCAGAAAACTCTGGAGTTAAAGACGTCGTTTCATAAAACAAACATGGCGTCAGAGCAGAATCAACCTTTTATCTCCAGCGGGCCGTCGATGTGCAGCTCAGGTTTGCTCTTCTTCTGCGTCCCCGCGGTGGCAGACAGCGAGGAGCGCTTGTAGACGCCCCTCTGGACGTCCTCGAACACCACAAACATGTTGTGGACCCGGGCGGTGTAGCCCGCCAACTCTGTGACCTGCAAACGCAGAGAGGGGGCGGGGTCAAAGGTCACCCCGGTAGAAAGACGACATGTTAACGTGACCTGAGCGGGGGTCAGAGCGGGGGGGTCGCTGCAGACTGAACGTCGCCCGCCTCCCCGCTCGCTGAAAGCTTTAAACGAGCCGAACGTGTGCAGACAGCTGGAGGTCTCCGGCCTGTTGACACAGCTTGTTGTTGTGAAAACACGCAGGATTTCTGAGAATCCACAGACCGAGTCGTGTCGGGACTCGTTCACCGGCCGACMGCCGAGGTTCAAGAGGGAAGAAGTGGAAGTTTTATCTGAGTCAATATTGAGTTTTCATTCTGTGAYCTGTTCTTTCTCTGCTGTTCACTCATTAAAACCTTCGGCTCACTCAGCAGATGGGGGCTCTAACCTTTGGGGTTTTGTCATTTTTATACTTCTCAGAACGACTTACTTTTATAGTTTTCGGAGAAACTGAGACGTTTATTTTCTAAACATGATGTCCCAGTRGCTTTCAAACCCCAAAACACATTACGGCAAAGGCTGGTTCACCCCAAAGATCCGGTGCCCCGGCACAAACAGAGCAATRTTGTATATGCTGTGAAGTGCCAGGAGGACTGCGACCAGTTATACATCGGGGAAACAAAGCAGCCACTGTTCAAAAGAATGTCCCAACACAGACGAGCTAATTCTAGTGGCCAGAACTCTGCAGTTTTCACTCATTTACAGGCCAGCGGTCACTCTTTCAGAGATGAGGATGTTCTCATTCTTGATAGGGAGGAACGTTGGTTTGAGAGAGGAGTAAAAGAAGCCATTTTTGTAAAGAAAGACCGTCCGTCATTAAACAGAGGTGGGGGCCTCCGTTTTCAGCTGTCCCCCTGCTACAGCGCTGCCATTGGCAGTATCACTCCACCCCCTGTTAACAAAAGGGATTAATTAGGGTGAACGATAGCCATGTGATGTGAGTATGAGTCACCTGTGAACGATGGCCATGTGATGTGAGTATCAGTCACCTGTGAGTCATAGCCAGGTGATGTGAGTGGGAGTCACCTGTGAACGATGGTCATGTGATGTGAGTATCAGTCACCTGGAGGCAGGACATAAAAGCCTGAATTTWGCCTGAAACTCTCAGACTGAAGAAGTCTCTTGGAAGAGAGACGAAACGTTTCATTAAAGAAGAACCCGTCCAGAGGACCTATACAATTTTTTTTTTCCTTTGACTTACTTTTATTTATAAGTATTTTATTTCCAGAGGGCTTCATAGAGAACACAGAAAATCTACTACAGAATACAAATAGAAAATCTAATCTGAGCTACTTTTAGATTTAAGAGCCTAATTTGCTGATTTTAGGTTTTAGCTAAACATTTGATTCTTTTAGTTAACAGTTCCTACTTTTAGCAAGTAGTTTGTTTTGTTTAGCTTTTAGCTAGCACTTTTCTACTTTAGCTAGTGTTTTGTTACTTAACAAATTTTTAAAATCTTTTAGCTATGTTATCACTTTTTTGCTTCTAGCTAGCTTTTTGCTACTTTAGCAAGACTTTTTTTGCTTCTCGCTAGCCTTTCATTACCTTTGGTTAGTCTGTTTCTAGCTTTAGCTTTTAACTAATCTGTTGATCATTTTAGTTAATGGTTCCTGCTTATAGTTAGTAGTTTGTTTTGTTTAGCTTTTAGCTAGCACTTTCCCACTTTTAGCTAGTGTTTTGCTGTTTATAGCTTATCTTTTTTTGCTTTTAGCTAGTGTTTCTGGTATTTGATTCTGGCTAACGTTTAGCTACTTTAGCAAGCCCTTTCTGTTTTATTGTTTTCCATTAAAAATCAGCTAAATTGACCTAGCTTTTTGCTACTTCTAGCTTTTTGTTGGCCTTATCCACTTTTGGTTAGCCTTTTTTAATTGTAGCTTCTAGCTAGCCTTTCATTACTTTTGGCTAGTCTGTTTCTAGTTTTAGCTAATTTTTTGATACTTTTAGTTAACTGTTACTTTTAGCTAGTGTTATTAATTTTTTTCTAAATTTCTAAAGTCTAAATTTACTAAACCTTTTCTAATTTTAGCTAGTGTTGTGTTTATTTTATCTTTAACAACTAAGTTTTAGTTTCTTCTGAGGTTTGTGAGCTCTATGCCTTTCTATAGGAAAAAAAGCTAATTTCTTAATGTTTAAGGTTTGAAAAAATAAAAATTCTAAAGTTTTAATTTTTTCTCCTGTGGAATAAAATATGTCCTACATCATATCTAGTATTAGTATTAAAATTAGTTCTTCTCCCGTCTGGTAATCTGGTTTGATTAGCAGTAATTTGATGCAGCTTTGGACCAGATTTAAAGCCAGACCAGGTGCCAAATAAACCTCAAAGCTGCAGCAGGAAGAGTTCTGTTTATAAAGCTCTATCCGACAATATCAAACGCTGCAAAACCTGCAAAAAAAATTAGCGACTTCTGTCCTTTTTTGTTTGAACTGTGATTTGAAGAGTGAGAGGGACGGCTGAAAGATCAACAGATGGTTGATTATTCACAGCAAGGCTAAGCTTTGAACACACACACACACACACACACACACACACACACACACACAC